ATGTATCTTTTGGGGGGGGGGGACAGGGGATAAATAGTTACGGTGCTATACACAACGGCGACGTAATAACAATATATTTTATTATGAGCCAAATGGGATTATATTTGTGATTTTATGTATAATAGTCTCGTTTATTTTATCCATTTAAATTTTTTAATTTTAAATATTTATAATTAAAATTTTTAAAAAATATCATATTTAATTTTTATTATTATAATTAAAACTCTAAAAAAATATCACATCTCAAATTGAATTGAAAATTTAAATTCGTAAAAAGAAGGAGGCTATAGTTTTTTTAAAGAAAAAATTGGCGTTTGGTGGACTTTTTTTTTCTTTATTTATTTTTTGAATTTCTTTTGGAGCATACTATTATAGGTCATTATGTGTAAGTATAAGTAAGTCATTTTTTATTTAACTGATTTTTTATTATAATTAAAAATTTTTATAAAAAATTACATTTAATTTTTTTTATTATAGTAAAAATTTTTTATATAAAATTACATCTTAATTCATATTAAAAATTTAAATTAATAAACTGAACGAGAACTAAGCATTGAGAGTTTATAGATAAATAACCGTGTTAGGTCTCGTTTATTTCGCTGATTTGAGTTTAGAATTTGAATTTTACTACAGTAAAAAGTTCTCATAAATAATCACATTTAATTTTTTTATTATAATAAAAAATTCTCATATAAAATCACATCTCAATTCAAATTTTAAATTTGAATTAGCGAAACGAAGGCGTGTTGTCTGCCTAACTCTTTTGCTTTTGTTTCACCGCACGGCAAACCAAAGAAGGTTTATTATTATTATTATTTTATTTATTTTTTTAAGGTTGACGTCAGTTTCTTGTTTGGGAATGACTAACCTTTTACTTGGCCCTTTTCACAATTTCGACGAGGCGGCGGTGGCGCGTGGTATGCACTCGCTCCGGTGTGAACGCAAGAAAATCAAGCCTAATCTAATATATTATCTCTGCGGTACAAAAAGGACCTCTGCCGAAACATTCAATTCGATTGGAACATTTTAGTACAAAACATTAAAGACGCTTGAAATCATTAATGGGTTTGAAGTAAGTTTGATACATATATAATATAGTTGATAAGATTTTATAAAAACGACGTGTCAAAACCCCTCCATGCATAAATGACGACAACAAGGCTTAAAACCTCACTCTAACTGGTCTAACAAAGCTGAATAATAAGAGCATAGCATCTTAAAAAATGGGGTCATCTCTTCAACTCATCACCAAAAACGAAGAAAGAACAAAGGGATTGATATCCACTGCTTTATAAAGAGCGTGAGATTGAACAAACGAGGCTAAGGTGACGCACTCAGAATGTGTCTACCAACAGGGTTTTCAACGAACAATCCTATCAGTTTATATATGGGATAATCTTTTGATTACGCACGCCTATAGAAATATGCCAACACTAACCGTCCTCTGATTTTATATTATCAGAAAAAAAAAAAAAAAAGAGAAATAGTGTGAGATTGGAAATTTTTTATTTTATTTTCTATATACTTTTTTGGTGTGTGTTTCAATTATTAATGCGTTTTCGTTGAACACACGTAGCTATGCCTGAGCCTCTGTCCTCCATGACAATGTCATGCCGTTCCATGCCAGAAGATTGGAGTTTCTTTCTTGAAATGGTCAGATCTAGTTGGAGATAGGAAAGTGACTTTTGGCCAATTGGGTAAGAGTTTGATGACACACACAAAGGAAAGGAAATGCAAATAAAGAATAAGATACAATAAATAATTTTCACTTGTATAACATGTGTAATATAGTGATACGAGATCACCAACAAATCACCGGTAAGAATGCAATTACTCAAGTATTATTCAATTATCTACTATCGGAAAGATTCAATTAGGAACTTTTCACACACTCTACACACATACAGAGGTTTTCGAAAGACCTCAACTCTCCAATTTCCTCACAATACAATTGTCTACCCCCTCCTCTCTTTATTTTCTAACTATATATCCCCGGATACTACCATAGACCGCCCCCTTACAAAATTCCCCTTCTACCCCTGCCTTTTATTTCTCCTCAGGTAAGTAAAGTGCACTGGTGGCCTATCATATAGCTGTAAATATTCCTCCGTACCAAGCTTCTACATGTGAACACTCTATTGGACCACCAAGAGCCAATAAAACAATAGCCTTGGTTTTTGTTGGCTAACTACCACTTTCAATAATAGAGCTTAAAGAAGAGGTAACTAGAGGTTGAATAGGATAAGTGAAAGGAGAAAAGGTGGAAAGAAATATGTACATAAGACTAGTGGAGAAACTAATGAAGGAAATGTCATTTTATGGAAAGTATAAGTTTCAGTTCAGTTTAGTGAAGAGTATTGTAGATAAAGATGAGGTACTTGGTTTCAATTCTGGCATTTTAAAATGGTTAATATAATTATCTAAACATCCGCTCCCCCTCTCTCTCTCTGTTTTTGTTTTGTTTTTATTTTTTAAATTTTTTGAAACAACCTATAATCTTCATTAGTCGAAAGGCCGATAATCTTTCTAAGTAGAACTTGAACTCGGATACTCGGGGTTACTTCCATCGAATATACACTAGATTACACCCGTATATACACGAAATGTCTCAAATTGTAAATCAATATTGATTTGCTAGTGATAATATTCACCAAGTTCACGGCTTATGTGAACTCGGATAGATGTCAAGGATTTATCATTATTTTATAACCAGTTGTTAAGCTTTGCATATAGATCGTACGGAGTGGGCCTCTGTTGAAGTGTGTATCCGTGCACATTGAAGGAGTATTAAATAAATAAATATATATATATATATATATATATTTACTTGGTGCAGGAAAGCAAAATATTGAAGTTCTCATGAAAGTGAATTAAACAATTGAAAACGACGTGGGTAATAATTCTTCATTGTTTTTGCGTGCCATATAATGTTCTAAATATATATTTTTTGCTGAATATATTAAGTTCTAGTACGTACTTTGAAACCTACACTTAAATGTTGAAACTTGCTCACAAGAAAAAAAGTTAATCTGACAAATGATTTTTAACTTCTTATTTCTAATTATACTTCAGTCACTGACTTTCAAAAAGTCACACTTTTCATTCCTAATATGTTATTTTGTTTTAATTTTCATACCTCCGTTAGCTAGATATTAACAGAGTCTAGAAAGTAGGAATCAAAATTAGAAAAATTTAAATTTTAAGGACTAAAATAATATAAAAAACAAAAGTTAATACTTTCACAAGGCAGTTCTTAAACTTTAGATTTTTATAATTTTTGTCTCTAATTTTTAGAGATCCTATTAAATATTTGACATTTAACTAACATGAGAGATCAAAATTGAAACAAAGAAGTAGATTAAGGATCAAAAGTAGAACATTTTTAAAGTAAAATTAAGGGTAAAATATATAGACCATTTACGTGATTAACCCAAGAAATTTAATGAGAGAATAAGGAATCTTTCAGGAAAAGGGGAAAAAAGAAAGGAAGAAAGAAAACAATGTTAGGAGTTTTCCAACTGAAAATGAAGGGGAAAAAAGAAAAAAGAGATAATTATTTATAAGGGTTATTTTTATTTACCCTTATAAATATTATTGTGTGGGAAAATATGATGGACACCTAGACCAACGGCACCACGACACGTGGCTATACTTGCTTTTCGCCGAGCACTCAACCCTCGACGCTTCGTTTCCCTCAAGATCAGCTGTAGAGCCCGAAGATGAAGTCCATGATTAGGGCGACGACCCCATGAGACGTCGACGGTTGACTCCGCCTGGGTTGACACGACAAGATCCCTCGACTGTAGAAAAGATCGCTAGAGAGGGCGAGAAAGGTTAAACAGCGCTGACGACGAGGGGAACGTCCCTTTAAGACACGACGCGTTACGTGCAAAAGTAAAAGAAGTCTGACAGCATTAATTGCAAGTTTACAAACCACTACCCCCCAAGGGGACAAAAAAGCATTACGGAGAGTCACAGAGCCGTAATAGAAGACTAATTGGTTGAGTGAACAGTACTAATTAGTGGGCTATATCTGGGCCTAGAGAGGAAGAGCACTTGAGTGTTCCTACCTACGAAGGAAACCCACCCAGTGAAGGGAGCCCGAGTATAAAAGAAGAAGGACCCCCAATAGGGAAAGGGTCCAGAGATCCCAGAGGAGAAAGAACAAGAGAGAGAGATAACATTTATTGTAAATTATAATCTCCACAAAAGAAATACAATATACACAGTGGATGTAGCTCTAATTTTATAGAGTGAACCACTATAAAATTCTTCTTGTTCATTTACATATAGTTCATTCAAACACAAAAATACTTAAATCAAACTAGAATCCACACTTTCAATAAACCCACAAGCCGATAATCCAAAGGGTAACCCCAAGGTAATCCGGCGGGTTTATTGTCGACGAAATCCAACCGTCAACAATTGGCGACTCCGCTGGGGACCGGAAGCGTTCGACCCCCGAAAGTATAGCTACAAACATCCATCCGCCCAAAGAGTAGTGGGATGGAAGGAGATTTACGCCCAGACGGAAATGGAGTCCCACCTCCCGACGCACCGCGGCCGGGTCCGATGCAGATGCAAGCCCAAATAGCCACTTTGACCGAGTTGGTACGTGGGCTAGTAACCGTGGTTGAACGATTAGACGGAAGGAACTCCATG